TCTAGCACAGCCTTTACAGGTGTAGTGTTGATGAAAATAAAATTCAAATAAATAAATAAATACTTTCACAATGTAAAGTCAACTTACTGTTTGTTATGCTGATCTGACGGCCCTGGTACTCAGTCCCAAGTGAGACCGCCGTTTGTTTCGAAGCCACTATGCGAACGGTCCTGGCGCTGTCTGCACACTCAATGTTGGGGTTGTAGTTTGGGTTGGACTGAGCGATAGCATTGTCAGCACTGCTGGGGTTTAATGCAGCTTGGATCGGGTCTCTGCAGTAGGACTTGTATTTCCAGGTGATCAGTGGTGGGTTTGTAGCTGTTGTAGTGAAATCACAGCGCAGCGTGACTGGCTGGAATAATATGACCACGTATCGTGGGTAAGGGCAGATCACACTGATGGCTGTGGTGCAGCCTGTGGGAGAGAAAACACATTTGAATATAACGGCATCCATAAATAAATGAACACAGGGAGATTTAAGACACTCCCATGAACTTAGACATAAATTAAGAATACAGTGGAGATCAAATACCATCTAGACTAGACTGAAAGTCCTTTGAGGCAATAACAATATCTCAAACCATGTCAAAAGACATTAAAAGGTTCTTAAGATTTCCTGTAAAAAATATTTCTTAAACACAAGGGAAAAGATTATAATAAAGCAGGTGAACCACATGAAAACTGACTGTGTCAGTTAACATGTTAATTTTTTTTAGTCTGTTCAAATAATAAACTGACTTCTCTTTGGCTTAGAGCTATTGAAACCATGTTGAATGCTCAGGAAGCAAGTGGTCCACTTGAAAAATATCTTTCAATCACTTAAATCACTAGCTTTTCACCAGTGAGTCAAGATAATAGCTGTGGTATAATCATCATTCTAGCTGTCAAAGTCAGGAGATAGGCTGTATTTATTTGCCCTAAGAGACAAAAATTGCAATAAATCTTTAAAGCAATGTTCAATGTAACATCTTCAGTAATATTTTAACTGAATATGAGTAATATTTTTAAGTCAAATCTGAAAAGTACAGGTATCATCATTTTGGAAGGAACATGTTTATATATTCATTTGAACTGCATTTTTATACTTTTGAGGAAGAAAATATATTATCATATCATACATGACTCTCTGAGGGTTATGGCTATTATATATTAGGAAGTACTGTTAGATGCATATGCATATTCCTGTTGTTAGACCCGATAGGTCTGAAATAAAAGGAAAACCCCTAACATACAGGCCAAAGAACTATAGTCTTTCACAGAAGCTACAATTAAATCGTCTTTTCAAGCAAAACTCTTTAATAATACCTTGAAAACAGATACAATGACAGATAGAGGGCCTCTACAAGCCATTCACTCCAAAAACACTCCAACAGGCCATTTTGAGCATTGTTTGGGATTACTAAGAAATGGTATACAAACTTTACACACAGGTGAAATCATAGTATGACGTCAGATCGTAAATTAGAGTTAGCTTTAAAGAGTTTATCAGAGGATGTGACTCATAACAGTAGGCCTACTGTATGTCTGACCGAAACCATTCCGTGTGAATACGACATGACCACCTCCCACACAATCCACATTACTTGCTCCCCTAACAACAAACACCAAATGCACTTAAGCAAATCCAAATAAGACAAAGTGGAATTATTGCACAACATGTGTAAATACCTCAGGTAGGCCTATATATCAAAATGGATGTGTATTATTTTGTACTGAAATCTAAAATTTAGATGCTGGTTTCCATTAGTTACATTTAAACTTGTGGATGATTAATTATGCATAAACAATCATTATTATAGCCTCATTTTAGTAAATTATGAGACAAATCCTATATCTACTACAGATAGGTCCATATGGCCTTCATATGGACTGCAATAAAATAAAAATATGATAATCGATTGATATTTTCTATACACGTACAATAATTGACGATGAAGTGAAAACAGTACTGCATTAGCATAACAAGGAGAAATGCCCCTACCTGTGAACAAGAGGAGGGTAAAGATTATACCCTGCGACATATTTTCTCAAAATCTTTTAAAACATATGAGCTTTAAAAACGTTTATTTCCTCAAAGGTATGTAAAGAAAGTCCGAGCAAGTGTCGAAAAAGCAGCTGTATTTTCTCAGGCAGGTGCGTCCTCCATTTCCTTCTGCAGTGAGGTATGAAAGTGTAACCCGAAACTCAGGTGAGATCGGCGGGCCCACCGCAAGCAAAATGCGCGTAAAATCTTAGGGGTCCAAAAGAGAACAATACTTTGCGTGTTTAAAAATATGGACTCTTATACATTTCTTTTACTTCTTGAACAATATTATACGATATTGTGGATCGGTATTCAGTGACTGCACAACCGGTTTGACGAGATTTACCCAAAACTTTATTAGTACAACGCCCTGCAATCCCCCTTTGGTGAGAGAAATGGTTTAGTCCACTGCCAATCTCTGAAGGCCGGGTTAATAATCGCCAAGATCACATGTTTTGGCTTTAACTAGAACTGCATTGATTCTTCCCATGTTTTTGCCGAGTAACCTGGTTAGACTCTAATCTAATTTAACAATTTCTCGGTTAACTACTAACGTTTTTTTGTTAGTAAAACACAAAAGAGCTCATTTAAAAAATACGGGGTGTCTATTTACATTTAGTTAAAAGTGGCTGTAAAACATCAGCTCCAGTGGTGTAAATGGATAAACACAGGTTGTTAGCTTTTTGACGCGATCGACCCGGGTTCGATCCCATCTTTTGCCTAACTTTTTTTTCCTTTTACAGGCACTTTTAACTAAATGTAAATATACACCCCGTATTTTTTATTCCATAGTAAGGGCAACTCATACACCAATGGCGCTGTCTCAAACTATACCTACCTCTTCCGGTTTGTCTGATTTGTCGTTGTGTTTTCTGACTTGTTAATTTGTTTTTGGATTTGTCATTGTGTTTTCTGACTTGTTATAATGTTTTCTGAATTGTTGTTGTGCTTTCTGAATTGTTATTTTGTTTTTTAGACTTGCATTCGCGTTTGTAATTTGTTATTTTGTTTTCAGAATTTGATTTGTTTTGCACTTCTTTGTCACCGTACATTCGGCATGTGTCTGATAAACGCTGATCTTCTTCAGTTTCATGATGATCACACATCATGTTATATAGGCCTTTATATAGGGGAACACTGACATTTATGTTTTTTGTACATTTATATTTTTTATTTTAATTTTAAAGACAAGTTCAATAATATCTAAAAAGAAAAAAAAAATGTATATTTGAAAACTAAGAAAGATAAATACCTTATTTGTACCTTTATTTGTAAACATTTTATTTAGGGCTGTCAGTCGATTAACATTTTTAATCTAATTAATTAAATGCATAGTGCGGCGATTAATTAATCTAATCACAAACTAAATTTGGCTGTGAAAATACCCACAAAAGATTATTTAAAGCTATTATTGTGTTAAAAGACAAAGTAGCATTAGAAATAAATATTTGATTCAACATAAAATTTATTACACAAACGTTTAGGCTACAACGGCCTAACATCATCTATGGAACAAAAAAGATAAGAGAAGATAATTTGAGAAACATCTCAGTATTTTTTGTTCATCCAATGAATGTCACTGGTAGCCAAAACAGCTTTGTTACCAACAGTCTTCAATTGTTGGCGATAAATGTCTTTATGATTTACTGAACTGTTGTATACAATCACATTTGCACTCGTGTGATATTGCTCTCATTGCTTGTATGATATCGCTTATCATGTGATACGAGACAAAAACTCATACAGGAGCTTTTTTGCCCCAATATCTTGAATTTTTAGCCATAACTGCATTTATGGAGTTGCCCTGCATCATATTTGTCAACCATAGATATGTGCATATCTATGTTGTCAACAGTCAGCTATGAAATATAAGATGACGTACAGGTCTGGGGGCGGGCCTAGTGCGTTAACTGCGTTAAAATATTTTAATCGCGTTATTTTTCACAACTAATTAATTCAATTAATGCGTTAAACGGACAGCTCTAATTTTATTTCTATCCTTAATTTGATTTGATATTATTATTGTTGTTTATCCTAATGTACCCCCAGATGCATTTGTGATTCTTTAAATTCAATAAATAAAAAATACATATATAGCGGAACACTGTGGCTAGTTGTGATTATTTCTTTTTGAAAATTAATTTATTTTTGAAAGTCAGTTAGGCACATGTCTTTTATATTTTCAATACAAAAATGTTAAATGTAAAGTACAAATATAACAAACCATTGTTTTGGCCTACATTTTTATATATATATATATATATATATATATATATATTATATTAGTAAATTATAAATTTCCTCTGTTCAGTGTGTGTATACTATGTCATTTTTTGATGGTTTGTCTGATGACAACTATCATGAAACATCAGAAAATCAATTTGAGAAGCGTTAACCACATGCCTACTTGGTGGTTGAACACTCATTTTGATTGCACAAACAACTCATGAGTCATATAATTATATGCTTTTTCTTTGTATTGAAAAAGCATATCTGTGCTGTTTCTTTCTGCCTGTCCAACCAAAATGTTCCTTTCCTGCCTTAGCATATTTGATGAAAGCTGTCAATCATTATGCTTGTACGTAGATTAAGTAAACAGATACACATTTATTTTTCTCTTACAGACACGCCTACCCACATGCAATAGATAAGTGATCTCCTTAGTTGGTTTGGTACATTAATTCTTTTACTTTTAAGATGCAATGTTTAAATTTTAGTTCTAATCATGAGCATATCTAGCGCATCGCGCATATAACAACAGTCGTTTTAGACTAAATAAAGGAAATTACACCTAGAGCAAAACATTGTACTTTAACAGCACACACGGCTTTGAGACTTGATCTGCAACTGTAAACAGTGGGGCGGGGCTTAGTTGCAAATCCCGCCTTATCCAATATGATTGGCTTGTAACAGTGTCGCGCGTAGCTATCGTCCAATCACACAACGTCCACAATGTACCGTCATGCCACTTATTAATGCAGGAGGCGGGGCTTCTTAGAATACGGGTTGGAGAACAGAACAATCGTGTTGGAGCAGAGTAACGACGCCGTATAGCGACTGTAATTTTATACAAACAGAAGGCAGCACTCTTCAAAAGAAGGTAAAAATACATTGACTCCTATCCACTGTATTTTCATATCGAACCTTAAATTAAGAGTTATTTCGTATGGTGCTTGACCTGTTTTTAGGCCCATTTGCTCTTACATCACCATCCACGTTCGTAGCGTGCGTGTTAATCATATTCTTTAAATGCATCGATCTAAATGCGTTAATACGAAGTCAAGAAAGTGCAATTTAATTTTGCATTGCTATACAGTATCAATATTGCGTCCTATCAAGTACACGAGATCGTCGGCCGTACACTGTGTTCTCATATCAGCTGTTATCATTTGCATGCGTATCTGTTTACCATCAAACATTAAGCAGGTTTTCCAGATTGAAGGATACTTTAAATATATCGTTTAGTTGTTCAAAGCCAGAATATGTTGATTAGGCCTACATAATGAGACATTAACATAATTTATATTTTTATAGACAGAATGACATTATAAAACAGCCTGCAGTCTCATACTTAGTCATTTGGAAGATCTATGCCCAAGTTCACCACAGCATATGTATGATCTTTTATGACTTGCACTGTAATGCACTAAATTTCACCCATGATTTCTTTCTTTGAAGGCAGGCCCAACCATGGGGAAGTCTCTGTTTTCTTTGCCAAAGCAAAAAGAGGACCAGGAGAACCTGACTGAAAACACAGAGTCTCACACTGAGGACAATAAACATGATGTGTCACAGTTTCCATATGTTGAATTCACAGGCAGAGACAGCATCACCTGTCCTACTTGTCAAGGGACGGGGAGGACACCTAGAGGTGAGAACAGATCCATCTATCCATTTACCCACCGATTACTTTATACCAGGGGTGCCCAAACTCGGTCCTGGAGGGCCGGTGTCCTGCAGAGTTTAGCTCCAACTTGCCTCAACACACCTGCTGGTAAGTTTCTAGTATGCCTATAAGAGCTTGATTAGCTGGTTCAGGTGTGTTTAATTGGGGTTGGAGCTAAACTCTGCAGGACACCGGCCCTCCAGGACCGAGTTTGGGCACCCCTGCTTTATACCACTCAATGTAATATGAATATATAGCTTCAACTAAATGTTTAACATTAATAAATTGTTCTTAAACTTAGTGGTATGAATAAATTGCTTGAATAAATCATTATTTGGACTTGTAAAAGTTTAATTTTGTGTTCTTCCTATCTTGGACTTTCTCACAGACCAAGAAAACCAGCTAGTTGCTTTGATTCCATACAGTGACCAGAGGCTGAAGCCAAGACGAACGCAAGTTAATTTCAATATCCGATTCAAATCAGCATTGGATACTATATATTTTATGACTGACTGTATATTCTTGCACTATTACAGGACATTGTACGTGTCTTTATCAGTCGTTCTGTGTCTGCTACTTTCTGGTTTGGCTGTGTTCTTCCTGTTCCCTCGGACTATTGACGTCTCTTATGTTGGGGTGAAGTCAGCCTATGTCGCATACAATCGAGACCAGCGGATAATATATATAAATATCACGGTAATATCTATAGCAAACCCTTTTAATCAGTATTTCAGACTTGTTAACCAATGTTTGATTTGTGATTCTATTCTTTGTGTACTTGATCAGATGGGACTTTTGGCAAAGTCAGGGTTTTTTGTTATATTTTGTTGCCATGTTTTTATTAAACTGTATTAAATAAGAGTATTGTTGTCTTTGTCAGAATACTCTGAACATCACCAACAATAATTACTACCCAGTACACGTGGCCAACATCACAGCGCAGGTGCAGTTCTACAAGACTGTGATTGGAAAGTCTATCGTCAGTAATGTCACCAGTATCACCCCTCTGGATATGCGTCAGGTCTGTGTTAATTTATTTAAAAAAAAATCATAATTAAGAATAATTTTATTTTTATATTATATTTAATAATATTTTATAATTATTTATAAATAATTTTCCATACTATGTATAAATTAAACATTTTTAATATCATTTATACAGTAATTTATATATATTTTAAATGTAATATTTGGCGTTTAACGCTTTTATGTTTCATTATAAACCCAAAACAAATTTTGTATATATTATCTGCAAAATATTAACTTTGTAGTAATTGTATAATTAATCATTGAATATTATTAAAACAAAAGTAATTTTTGCATTAAAAGTAATGTTTGCTAAAGTAAATATATATAGTAAAAGTGTATAATACAACTGTACTAATACATATGCTTTTTCATAATTTTAATAAAATGCCTTACTGTTTCAAGCCTAAATTTGTATTCATGGTGAATACAAATTTTTGTACTTTACATTTTTGTATTGAAAATCACACGGCAGTTAAAGCCACATTTTAAGCAGTGACGGCGCTACACCGGGGCTAGGGGGGGCTATAGCCCCGTCAGAATTTTGAATAGCCCCGGTTTACTCTGACGTCATCAATATCATTTATTTTCTTAGCACCCCCACATATTGGTCTAGCCCCCCCTTAGCACCGGTAGAGAAAAAATTCTGGCGCCGTGCCTGATTTTAAGATAACAGAAATAAATAAGTGACCTGTATCCTCCCAATAAAGGCTGTATGATTTAGTCACATGACTTATCCGTATGTGTAATTGCTTTGATAACAACTGTTATCAATGTCAATGTTTTATTTTTAGGTTGATTACACTGTTCCCACCATCATAGCAAATGAGATGAACTACATATTGTGAGTATTTGTCAGTTGGGCCTTACATTATAATAAAACCTTCATAAAGACAGTTTATCTTACTGATAGTGTTTTAGAATGAGTGTGATGATTGCCTGACTCTGTTTTTACAGTGACTACTGTACCATGCCATCAATTAAAGTGCATAACATTGTTGTCATGATGCAGTAAGTATTCTATAATGGAAAATCTGACTCCTTTTAAGAATCATTGTTCAAAATTTTATGTAAATGAACAGACTGAAAAAAAAAACGTTTTTTTTTTTAATTTAGAAAAATGTTACTGTATTCATTTTTTGTTTATTGTATTTAGTGTTCTTCAGTTGAAAAGAATGATAGATCTTTATTAGATAAAATAATCATTAACCAAAATGTTATTAATTAATATTATATTTGATTGATGCCATGTTCTCTTCTCTCCAGGATGACTGTAACGGTCATGTACTTTGGCCACGCTGAGCAGGTGTCTCAGGAGAAGTACCTGTACGTGGACTGTGGATCAAACACTACATCTTCACACGGACACATGAGTGTGATACAGTGATGTTCCTCTGTATGAACCACAGTTCCTCACGTTCCCATGTGGTGAAACAAAAACCTGTTCTGAGTGTTACAAATGGCAGAAGATGAAGTCTGTACTGTAGGGAGAACACGTCAGGACTGATCAGCACGTTTCAGCCAGAGCACTGATGTCTTTCTACACCATCATTAGGGCTGTGCAATTAATCGCATGCGATTGTCATGCGCATCTCGTCAGTAAAGCCGGTCCCGTGATTAGTAGTAAATCTCCATCACCTGCTTTTAGATGGAGCGCCATTCACTACACCGAGCCATAGTTCACTGACAATTAGGCAATATCGCGTTCATAATTGCAGATGAATCGCATTCGATTATGAACGCGATATCGCCTAGCTTGTCAGTGAACTATGGCTCGGTGTAGTGAATGGCGCTCCATCTGAAAGTAGGTGATGGAGATTTACTACCAATCACGGGACCGGCTTTACTGACGAGATGCGCATGACAATCGCACGTGATTAATTGCACAGCCCTAACCATCATTATCGATTCTTTAGCACAGCACTGAAGGTTTTGCTTGGATAGACAGAAGCACTTTAGTATATTTTGGGAGAAGGGATGACAGCAGCAGAATATTTTACATAGAGCTGCAAACACTCAAACCACCTTGACTACTCCGTTACAATTTTACTTTTTCCTGTGCGTTTTTTTTGTAATGTTAAACAGCGTGCTGCGATTTCCATTTGATCATGCTCGTTTTATTGTTATTTAGCTCTTTGCAGAGCAGGTACTCTTTAGTTTTTTTTGAGTATGGTGTTAACTTATATCAACATGCCAGCTTTCAGAAGTTCATGAGTTAATGAGAATTTTGTTTTAATCCATATTTTGGATTTTTCCAACCTATACGACTGCAAAAAAAAATAAATAAAAAAAAAT